CCGCGGCCGCTCGCGAGAGGCGCGCATGAATGAAACGAGCGAGCGACTCTTTCTAAAGAAGAGTACATAGGGGTCAATCAGGGTAATCTCGCAACGGCCAATGACAAAATTAATAATCGTCATTCTCTCGGACGACAGAATTGACAGTTGTGCTTAAGCGATCTTATCATGCCCGTTCAACGAATTTTCATCATTCGATAATTTCATAAATCACTATCGGCTTACATCTATTAACCATTCTGTCAATGCGTAATTTTTCATCTTTTCTCTGTAGTGTTTTTCGCAAGATTTCCACTAAAAATATATAAAAGTGAAAATAAAATTAAGTCTGTGCAAAACTGTTCTTTGTTGTCAAAATACGAAAAAAAAACGGTTAAGGTATCTAAAAGTTTAATTAAATATAGAGCTGGAAATAATTTCGTTGGACTATCTCAAATAATCTAAAAATAATTATACAAAAAGTTTAAACTTTTAGATTGTTAGAATGTCAAAATGTTTTGCATTGTTCATGTTGAATTTCCTACATAATTATTTTAATCAGAATTGTCACAAATTTCTCATTTTAAAATTTCATAACTTTTCCTTAATTTTTCTAAACAAAATTTCATAATTTTACCTGATTTTCAATAACATTAAAAATGTTTTATATTTTTGTCTTGATCTAAAAACCGTAAAATATTTTGTTGAGAGATCAATTTAACATATAGTAATGTAAATTACTATTAATGTTGCTAAAACTGCTTACATTTTTAATTGTTAAGTTGATAATATTCCAAAACTGTGCAGATATAATGTACGTATATTAAACTTCTTTAAAGCTAAAATTTTTTTTTTTTCGAAAATTTTGCAAAATTTTCTGACTTTTCCCCGATTTCCCTAACAATTCCCTAATTTCACTAATTTTTAGTTTTGTGGCAACAAAATTATTTTCAGCTTTGTATCTACCTGAAATTTTTAAATATTTTAGTATAATCATCTTTTTCGTGAAAAGGAGTTTTCAAGGCATATAACGAAATCTGCACAAAAATATAAATTGTTTACTATTTATGAATTTATGTGAAAAAGAATTAAAAAAGAGTTAAAAGATGTTTTCCTAAATTCTGATTAAGAGAGAGAGAGAGAAAGAGAGAGAGAGAATTAATCATGCAACTTGCTAAAAGAATTCTATCAACACCATGCAACATTTTTTAAATATATCCATTATCTATTATCTATTATTATATTTAAAAAAACATTTAAAAAAGACTTTTTAAAAAAAAATCAATGTGATAATCGAAAATTGACTATATGGAGCAATAGAAAATTTGATTAATAAATATGATACGGAGATAAATTATGCTACGTATTTCACACAGAGAAAGATAAAATCCTTAGTATATATAGTGATTTCACCGAATTTGATAAAACTCTTGATCAGGCGCAGATTGTTATAACGATAATGGTAACGCTAATGCCAGATTTACACGAAGCCAGTGAAAGGAGAGGCAAGTCAAGTAGTCACGTTATTCAGCCACTTGTTCCATAATCATCTCTGACTACCTTTGCCACCTGGCTTTCCTCCCTATTGACTTTGAATGCGAAACCAGTATTCTAACTAACAAAAAGAGGACACACGGACTCTTCACTAGTGATTTTGATCTTCTCCAGTATCAGAATGATGAATCCACATAGAAAATAAAATATATCGTGTTTGAGTGTTTTGTTGAATAGGTATTAGGTAAATAGTGCTTTTTATATAGTAGAAAGAATGGGTATATATAGTACACGTATATAATACTTGTTAATATATGAAAGGAACCCATACTAACTTTACATAAAAAATTGAATCCTGATGAAATGAATTAATTTTCACATAAATGTAGCTTATAATATGGCGAACAAAAGATCAACAATCGCTTAATAATAGATAGTTTTTAAGCTATGGTGTATTTAAAGATGTTCTGTGCATGAGTACAAGTTTTACATCTTTGATACATCATAGCTCAAAAACTATCCTTTATTAAACTTTGTGTCAATGATACCTTTTGTTCGCCATATCACAAGTTACATTATACCTACATGAAAATTAATTCATTTTATTGGGATTCTATATAATTGGTGCGAGATTCTTTCATCCATTAACACTAGAACTGCGGCTGTATTATTTTTTACATCCGATAATTCTATTTTTTCCAGTTAATTTTCGTTAACAAATAGTTACTATATAATATAAATAGACTTTGAAATTACAATACTTTAATATCAATAACAGTATATTAATTCCAAAAATCATGATAGAGTAATATGATAGGAATAAGTGACTCATAGTGGTTTTGAGAAAGGTCCAAATCGTCAGTGCTAGTGTTAAAAAATAATACTTACAAGGTTTATTCATCAAAACATATTCGGACATAATTTGTTTTCGCTGTAGGAAGATGTTATCATGCTGGAGGAGACCAAAATCTGTCCTCTGTAGAATCCACTGTGGACTTATTCTTGTAAGTTAAGTTACTGTAATACAATACTCACCGAAATCAAGTGTTTCGAAATGGCGGTGTCGAAACGAAGAAATCTCCATACAAAGAAAAGAAAGGAGGCTATTTGCCTCGATCAAAATAACAGTGAGTCGGCAACTCTTGTTACTCGCTACACTAATCTCCCTACCGGGTTCATACAGCGTTATAGTCCTTCATTAATTTCTTTCAGGGAGGAAAAGCGAGCGAGCGAGCGAGCGACTTACCACTCGGCTCGATCTGCTTTTACCGGCGTTCATATATTCCTGACTAATGCCGGGTTTATGCTGCGAATAGTGGGGAGGCAAGTCGAGTGGCAAATTACTCGCTTACCTTCCCCGGCGAACGACACGACGACGGTACAGAAGTTTAAGCCGAGTAACCTGCAATCACTCCCGTGCGTCTCAACGCCGGGTTTACAATTTTCGCTATTTTTGGAGTAACCTGCTGCACGCGATCCGTCCCCGTTTACCTCGATGAAAAAAGAAAAATGATAGGGATGAGAGCGAGTGATTTTTATAGCATTCGAACCGTTTTATCGGCTCCGATGCCACCTTATTGTGAAGAAACGACGAAACTCACCGAGTAGGAGCAGCTTGAGTTCTCGCCTGGCATCCCGCTTGTCTCTCCGCAATTGCCGTTCGATTTCCTGGTTGATGCGTTTCTGTTCCTTCGCCTCTTCCGACAGGCAGCACGCCATGGCTCAGAACAGCGGAATCCTCCTTTGACGGAGGAGGTGATGACAGCGAAGAAGGAGGAAGAGGAGAAGGAGGAAGAGGAGGAGGAGGATGAGGAGGAGAAGGAAAAGGAGATGACAAGGGGGCAGGAATATAGGGGAAGTCGTGGACGAACGTGAAGGAAGGGAGAGTGGAGGATGAGGGTGTATGAGCGATTCGCAGTGACAGCGAGCGCTGCTCGCCGACCGGCGGTGACCTTCGTTGCGGCTGCTGCTCCTCTCTTTCTCTCTTTCTCTCTTTTACGCACGCGGCGCTCCCAATGTACGTGTTAAGATTCAAGTCGGCGATCGTTCCTCAGCGGGAAAACCAGGTTATCTCGCCACCGCGGCGACGGTGGCGAACGAGCGACGACGACGACGATGACGCCTCGTCGCCGTCCTCGTGGTCCCCGTCTCTTCCTTCTCTCTTCCTCTCTCTCTTTCTCTCTCCGTCTCTCTCGTCCCGGTCGTGCCTCTCTCACTCCAGGCTGCCTCCCACTACCGTTGTTACTACTACTATTACTACGGATACCACCGGCGACGGTACCGGTATCACTACTACTACTACTACCACCACCGGCGGCGGCGGCGACGACGACGGCGACGGTCACGTCGACGGTAGCGGCGACGACCACGAAGACGAACGGGGGGTTCCACCCCCCGGCGACGGCAGCGTATACGACGACGACGGGGGAACGTCCCCAGCGGCGCACCCGTGTTTTCCCCTCAACGACGGCGGCGTCTACGCAGCGCCGCTGCTCCTGGCGGGGCTCGACGACGCCAGCGACGCATCAACGCGCGTCTACGCGCACGCACACGAGCCCTCGCGCCGCCTCTGTCGTTCTCCGACTACTCCGTCTGCTGTCTGCTGTCTGCTTCGCACGGTTGCTCAATGCTTCTTTCTCTGCTCTTTCGTCTTCTTCCTCTTCTTCTTCTTCTTCTTCTTCTTTTTCTTCCCTCACCTTCTTTCTCACGGTCTTCCTCTCACCCGTTACGGCCTCGTATCTCTCTCACGCGCACGCACGTTTCGCCCAGAGTGCGAACTGCGAGTTCGTCGAGGCGCACTACGCGAATCTTCCCGCGTGTGTGTGTGTGTGTGTGTGTGTTGGTGTGGTGTGTGTGTGTGTGCGCGCGCGTGTACGGATGTGTGGCGCGTGCGTGTGTGTGCACGTTATGTATTATATATATATATGTATATATATATATATTTCTCTATATAATATATACTTCTCTCTGCGCGCTCTCCTCTCCTTCTCTCTATTGCTCACGCACGTACGCAAGTAACACACATGTACCCACCGGAGCGCACACGTTTCGCCTTTCCCGACGGGCACGACGTTGATGTAACCTCGACGGATGTTTCCTCGCAGAGGGCGAGGTCCGTCTCTGTCCCTTTCTCACTCGCTCCTTCCTTCCTTCCGTCTCTTTCTCTCTCTCTCTCTCTCTCTCTCCGCGCACTTCTTCACTCCCTCTTTGCACTTCCTCTCTCTCTCTCTCTCTCTTTGGTTATTATCCGTGTCGCTGTTCTTATCCCGGCGCGCGGATGAAACACTCGGCGCACTTAACGGAAGCACCCGGTGACACGACCCGGATGACCGAAGTCCTGGATTGTCCTGGATGGTCGGCGCGCGTTCACCCGCGTAGTACTAGACGCACGGCGCGGCCAGAGAGAGCTCTCGAGAGAGCGGCGCAGCGACGACGTTCGGCGATCGGCTCCCCGGCTCGGCTCGCGCGGTGTTGGGTGTGGTAACCCACCGGCGCTCCGTTCCGTCTCCCTCCTCCCTCCCTCCCACCCTCTCTCACTCACTCACTTTTCTCTCTCTCTCTCTCGCTCACTCGTTCGCTCCCTCTGTCTCACTCGCACGGCTCCGCTTTTCCCTCTATCACGCTCTCTCCGTGGTACACACGAAAAGCTGTCGCTGCTGTTGCTGCTGCTGCTGCTGCTGCTGCTGATGGTGGGCCTGCGGTTGCTGCTCCGACGCACCGAATGACACGGGAACACGATACGAGGATTATCACGAGATGAGCGCGGCATACGACGACGCGCGTGGTCACGTTAACGACGACAGCGACGGCGACGACGACGACGACGGTGACGACGTGTCGAGTCGCCGTGCGAGAGAGAGAGAGAGAAAGAGCGAGAGAGAGAAGTTTCCTCCAGCGATACTTGGTGGTCTCTATCTTCTCCCTCTTTTACCTATCTATCACTCTTTCTCTGTCTATATTACTGCTGCTCACCTTTCGAGCGGAGCAACTCCTTGCGACACGCACCGCGCCCGTCCGGCGCGCAGCTTTTATGAAGCGCGAGCCGTGAATCTTGTTAGACCAAACCAGATTGGTGAAGCCCCGCGACACGGCACCTGCGGCCAGCTCCTCCGTTTCACTCGTGGCTGAGCTGCCTGCGTATCACCAGCACCGTAGGGCGCGGGGGGCGCGCACGTGTCCGCTAACGAGATTAAAATCGCCGACAATCGCCGAGTAGGAGGAGGTGCGGCCGCCACCCGCCGGGGAGGAGACACGGAGAACGTAACGGCGCGGCGCTGCCTGTCTTACCGATCATCGCGCTCCCTGCTTTACCGATCGACCGTCGTCGATGCGGTGAAAATACGGTCCTATAATTTTATAGCCTCCTAAAAAGAGAACTCTTCGATCTAACACGAATTAATAAAATATGTCATCTTAAAATATTTGAATTTTTTTAATAACACTTTCTCGTGTTTCCGTAAGAATTTAAAAAATCTTGAATTTCTCAATTTTTTGCTTTGTAGTAATATTTCTACTTTTTATCTTGATTTAATCCTTTTGTTTTTATCTTTTATTTAAATTGTTTTTTTTTCTCCGTAGTGACGTTTTCTGCTGTTTCCTTTCCGTTCGATGCAAATCGAAATCTTCGAATTGAATTCTTCTTATCCACCGTAGGATTCGTAGGTCCATCTCATTGGTTGATGCTCTTCACTTATTCAATTATTTTTATATTAAGAAGCCGCAATGCTGAAATGCGCTTCGAAGTTTTATTAACAAATTTGTCAATTTAATATTTGAACTGAATAGGTACCGTTCTGTTAAAAAATGCGCAAAGAAATCTAAATTAACATTTACCGTAGCGTAACATTGATTCCCTATATTTCATCACCTGCGTTGTTTTTCCATGCAGGAATCAGTAAAAACGCATGACACAAAACTGTTACTGTTGTTTGATGAGAAGATTAAGTTTAGCATGTGAGGCTTCACGAAGCCCATATCGACAGATTTCTAGAATATAATATATATATGAACTCTTATAATAAATTCTACATAAAAAGTATAGGCTTGAGGCATGTCGCGCTTGCAATCATTTCTTATTTCAATTTCACTGATTAATTTTATTTTATTTTTGCTCGTGAAAAGCTGCGGTTTTTTTTGCTAGATATATGATATAAATTTTGCAAAAATAAAAATAATAAAAAAAATTTGTGGTACTCGAGATACGATACGATAATTTCATCAACTTTTCAAGTAAATATTTAAAAAAATTAGAAAATACGAGATAGAAAGAAATGATCAGTTACGCGCCCATTATAATGAATCTTTATTTCCATTGTAGACAATTTTTTATCTTATTTATCTATTTTTATTTTCCTAACTGCGTTATATATCAATATATAAAATATTAATCTTTAAATGACACACATGGATCATTCATGTTCACATACATATCTTTATTTCAAATCTTTCAAGCTTTAAAATCCTTTTTAGTGTAAATAATATAAATGATTTTTTTTCCCTTTAAGTGAGAAACAGCCAAATTTATCTTCCAACACTGAAGGAAAAATTGTTAACGGACACGTATAACCCATATATGCTATTAAACATTATTTTTGATAAAATAAAAATTTTCTTTTCGCTAAATTTTTGCTTATTATGCATATTGATAAATATTTGTCAATTTGAATATCATAAGAGATTTGTTCCTCTATCTATAAATAATGAGATTAATGTAAAAAAATATTTTTTTAAATTTTACTATTGACTTTTATTGTTTCATTGTTTATCTTTTTTATATATTTTTATACTTTGATAGTAATAGAGTAAAAATCAAATTTTCTGAGTTTCCTTAACATTTTAATTATCAAACAGATGTGGAGTATTTATCTATCTTTGTCAAGTCCTCTGCATTTACTCAAGAAAAGTATATTTTTATATTTTGGATAAGAAGAAAAATTATTGTTTATTACTCTTTCTAATATATACGCATATATTTAAGCATCTTGCCAAATGTACTTAAGATAGTAAAGTCAGTAATACATTGATACTTTTAATTTTTTCTTTCTCTTTGTTGATTTTTTTTGTCTCATAAATGCAAAATAAATAGCATACTTGTATTTGTATATCATAAAAAAAATTTAGTGCATAATTAGCGAAAGGGATTTTTTTGTCATATCCGTTCTTAATGTTTAAATGCATTATCTTGCATCATTCACTCCACTCGATAAATATTTTGATAAAGTATAATCACATAATTATTATTGCACGTAGTATAATATAAATTTCGAGTTTGAAAGGATTAATTAAAATTTATTCAAGTATCTCTTTAGGATTGCAAATTTGTACAGACTTTCTTTTTCTATCTCCTTTTGTTTGTTAAAAATATTACAGTATTTTTTTTCAGGAAGAAATTTAAGAAACCAAGAAAACTTATTAATAATTTCTGCAAAGTCTAATAATTTCGTAACATTAAATCTATCCTCGAAACAAGTGACCTCTTTCACAGAAAGGCACTTGAACTGTCCTGTATCTTGCACAATAGACCAGCATGATAAAATAAAGACACACAATTCTTTCAAAGCTGATATTTTCTCTTAATGCTAACTTGTAAGTATGTACGTATGTATATATATATATATATATTATTACAACACTATTTATTACACAAGATGCGGATACAAGATGTTTCGGCAGATCTAACGAGTATTGATCGAGTTTACAAAAGTTTCAGGGTTGAATTGTTACGTATTCGTTTTCTATCTTGATAACATGAATAGATACGGGAGCGATAATAATTATAGCAATATATATAATAATAACAGTAGTAATAAAATATTATAATAATAAACGCTCTCTTGTCGCTACCCGATTTTCTACATACATGTACATAAAAGATTTGCGGAGAAATGAAATTGCGAATAAAATCTGCGCAAAATAATTCATGAATAGATTTTACTGGAGAAAAATTCGCGATACTCCAAAAAGCGGAGAAACAAGAAAAGAACTATCAATCATAAATACACAAAAGCTATACTCTCATCTCATTTATACATCGTAATATTTATTTCTCTCACGTATAACCTTTTCGATATCTATTGTTACGTTGAAAAATTTGGCATGCGAATCGTGGCGAGATTTTTAATGGGAGCTATCACTAGACTCTCGAACTGTACGCGAGTAAATAGTATAGAATCTTACCTTACGAATGCAGACAGGTAGTTGGACCTTAAAAATTTTATGATCCCCCTTCCCATTCAATGGCAGAAGGGGGTTATTGAAGTGGCGCGCACGTTTTAAACTTGAAGATGTACGTCTCTTAATAATAATTTTCCAGTGGCCACAAAGTTATCTCGTAAAATACTCTTAAATCGTATATATAGATCTATGTACACAATTTCATAAAATAATATTAATTTAATATATAGATTTCGTTTTATATTATATAATATTGCATATCGTTGTATATATCGCATGTATGTGTGTGTTTTTTATTGTGTATACGTGTTACAATATATTATTTAATCGCTTAAATATGTCGTTTGATTATTATTCATGATGTGTATCGTACGTTTGATATGAGAGGGTCAATCCCATATTTTTTTGACGAATAAGAGTGAATGTTGGCACAGACAGTGGCTGGGTTAAGGCACTTTGGGGTGATTGATTCTCTCCGCAGTACCCTCCAGCATAACTATCTTATCGAATTCTCCCCGCTCCCTCTCCGTATTCCTCCTGCAACCTTGTTCGCCTGCTTTTTTCTTTTCCGTTTGCTTTTACTTATATACGCCGTACGTAATATTATTCTCGCATGACCGCGCGGCTCTTTATCTCCCACTTAATTACGCGATTCTTTAACTACTTTAAAGTAAAATACGCTGTCTCTGATGAGCATTGGAGTGTAAATGGCGAATCGAGCACAGCTTTCACAGCGGTTTCGTGAAGTTTCCCGGGAACATACCCTTTTCATTGGTTCCTTCTTTGATACCCATTAACCAGCCTTCTTCCTGTAATGAACAAGAAATATCGTAAGCAAAAACGGACACGTTAATGAATACGTTTAGATTTTCTAGACATGTCGAGACTTATTTATTCCAAGAATTACGAACCTGTTCTTCAGGATCGTCGTATTCCACCACGCGAATAATCTCGCCAACGTCGAACGATAATTCGTCCACATCCTCACGACTGTACTTGTAAGTGGCTTTAACCCTGTATAAAACGCCTGGCGGCAGATTGTCTGTTGTCGCCCCTATAGAGAAATTAGCAGCATTTTCATATTCCGCCTCTAGAATGATTGAGTCCGCCCCGTTAGTCATGGACCTGCCTGTGATTTTGTTCGCATGGAGACTTTGAGATATATATATATATATGTATATATCAATTGTGTGCAAAGTTTCGTTTCATTCTTTTAACGCTCGTATCACATTAGCGATAATTGAAAATTGCATCTGCGTTCGCGTTTGCATCTCTTGACCAATCAAAAAGGAAGTGCCTGCCAGTGGCAACTTCTTTCTGATTAGTTAAAAGATACAATCACCAATCACTAACGCGATATGGGTATAACTGCATAATTAACGTTTAATTTCACATCTAGGTCAAATTAACTACGATCTTGATTCGGCAAGACCATGCACATAGGGGCAAGCAGCGTACTATTGTTGTATTAACAATTATCCGATATTGCAAATTTATTAATATTTGATTCATTGTTACGTTACATATATGCGCAAATTTACTTTGAAATTCGAAACAATTTATTGAGCTCAACTTTATAAAATGAATCAATCAACAATTAAAATATCGTTTATTTGTTTTTGCAAAATACAGTTCAATTATTTTACTCCATATTTACTAACTTCGGTAACAAGAATCTTTGTTATCGAATTATGCAAATATTTATAATATTGCAAACGAATGACGCTAAAAACACTATTTTTAAATTATTAAAGATAAAAATTCGACAATGAAATGATTACTCAAGATTATTTCAGTTGAATTCGCTAAGATCAAATAACGTTAGCAAAAAGGCACATTAAAAAACACGGCAAAGTTTAAAAATTCGCGAACGGCTTACCAACTGGTATATCATACAGTTCCTCGACTCGTTTAGAAGGCGCGACTGCATTCTGCGGCGAAGCATCCTGATTATTGAGAGAGTTATCATTGCTATTAGCGTTGCTATTAGCGTTGCTATTAGCGTTGCTATTAGCGTTGCTGTTAGCGTTGCCGTTTATCTGGGTGGTCGGCGACGTGTCTCTGGCAACGGGCACGGTATCATCTAAAGCTGAAACACGCGAGAGAAAGCATATATATATATATATATATATATATATGTGTGTGTGATTATATATAAAATTAATATACACGCGCACAAATTCAACTTGAACAAAGATACAGCAAAATAATTACCTCCTGAGATATTGTTCTGCGCTGGCTGCGTGTTAATTATTAGGCTGAAACAAATCAGTATTATTAATATTATATAACTGCTACATATATCTTTCGGTTTTACGTTTTGTATTAATTATTATCGTATCATATTTTATGTAACAACCGCTTTAATATTATGTTTTGTATAATTGCAGCTTTGCCAAATAACGTTTTCCTTTTATAATTACTACTTTTATTTCTTCGCATTAATTTCGATTTTTGCAGACTAGATCTACTTACGATGAGTTCGCGTTGGGTGACTTCGGTGATTGCGGTTCCGTATTCTTCTTCAACGTGTAAGATCCTCGCTGACTTTCGTTAGCCAATTTATCAACGATTGCTTCTAATTCAGAATATACCTAGGAATATGAATGAAAAAAGACATAACAATTATACCATAAAATTCTGTAAATTAAAAAATTTTTACATTTCAATAAAGAAACCGAATTAAATTCACATTAAAGTCTGTCAGAAATTAATAAATAAAATTCTGTATTATTAAATCTTGAAAAAGTTTAAGAAAAAATTTTTAAAAGAACCCATTCTTATTATTATCGATCCTTATTATTCTACTTTAGATACCTTGGCACTTTCAGTATGAAACACTTGCTCTGCGGCGAAGAGTGTCTGCAAATTTGTGACGAGGAAAAGAACGCGCGAGTCATACAATGCTGGCAGTTCGTCGTGCAGCTCGGAATTTAGTTGTTCGTATGTACGTTTTGCTTCTTCTAATAGCTCCTTCCCCCGGGATACTTTGAGTTCATCTCTCTTCTTTGGATTACCCTGCAACGACTGGAAGTTGTGTCTCTGACTGTCGTAATCTACCAATTTGCGTCCGCGTTTGTCGACCTTTTTCTGGAAGATGAATGAAATCCTTGAACTGTAATATCTTCATGTATCTCATTATCAATTTCCTAAACTACAACCATTATCTGATCCTGTTGTAGAGATCAAAATTCTCAATTCATTTTCAATCTTTATTATTATCAATTTTACTATACAATTTTTTGTAAATTATTATTGTGTTTATAAAATCAAGTAACAAATTATTATTTATTAATTTTTATAAAATAAAGATTTATTAATTTATACTACTCTAATTGTGATTTCAATAGAGTTTTATTTTTAAAACAAATAATGATAAAAAAGTATTAATAAAGAAATTGTGTGGTGCAACCATCGAGGATTGCACGAGACGTACCCTCATCTCTGGGAATTGACTTTGATACGTATTGAGTGGTACAAGAACCTGGTCCGCAAGTTTGTGAGTGAAATCTTGCCACAGCATGTCAAGATTTTGTGCCTGCACGTATAACAGATCATGTCCGGTCCATTGACTCTCGTAGATCTCATTCAACGAGTCCATGAGTGTCTTTGAAGCGGCCTGCACTGCTGCAAAATGAAATACACGCATCGCTTCGCTCAATTTTCTCATCTATTTTTCATTGGCATTTCATTTGTCATTGAGAAAATTGTATTACTGCTAAATGGAAAAACGTGCAGAGATTCACGTGGCAAAGGTATATATATATATATATATATTGGAGGAAGAGATGAAGGAGACATCTCAAGTTGAAGACGCTGCGTAACGCGGTCGTCGGGAGAGACGACGTTGTTTCGCAAGCAGTAGAGAGAAACTTTTTCACGCCGATTTTCCATCACGGTGATACGTGTCTTTTTACTTCAGGAATAAATGTGCGACGCGGGTGACTACTTTCCTGACCTACATCTAAACCTCTCCCAGTGCATTCACCTGCGACGATAAGCCGATTGCTTACAAATTCCTTCTGCAAAAGTTGCAGAACGACGTTTTATCGCTCGCATTACATTGCAAGAGTACGAAAGATCTTATCTAACAATCTTCTATATGTAAACTGATATGACATTTTATTTATTTATAACATTGAATAATAAAATTTTCTATCAAAAGATTTCTTTTAATTCTATTATTATATATTATATATTTGAGATTTGTAGTTATAATATATATTTTGATTAAACCTACAGCATATATCCAAAAAATATTGCATTTAAAACCTAACTAAATATGAAATAAATAAATAAAATAAACAAAAAATAAATGAAATAAAATAAATTGCTTCACATTGCTTTCATAGAAAATATCGACTTCCAGTGAATCAACGAATTGGTGCAACGAAACTGTAAGCATGCATTTTTGAAAAATTTACTGTAAAATAATTACATTTATCAGGGCAAGCAGTTTCACGATTATATTGTAAATTAATTTTAATAATTACATATAAATTTTAACAACTGATGGCAATCAACATCATTCATGTGGCGCAAATGTACCTAAATAATTCGTCGTTGATGCAAATTACGATAAATGAGCTGTAATGATAATTCTCAGTATAATCGCTTTTTACCCGATTCAATGAGTCACGTACTGATTATAGCTCCTCATTATGGCTCCTTCTTTTCTCTGGAATTTGGACTCAGACATAGAGCATACGACGACGGAAAATTTGCGAAAACTATGACGAATCGTCGTCGATCGAATTTGCAACGCGCCGCAGACACACTTTCATCGTATTTTACCATTGCCCGCATTTATAATGACAGAGGGACTTCGTCGTCGACACCTACCTACCGACACATTTCGCATGCGGGTATTTATGCCCGTCTGCCAAGTGATAAATGGAAAGCTAAAAGCTGTTAACGCGGATCCTGTGCACTTCGAGATTAACGCCTTCTCTGAGGCGGTCATCCGCGACCGCATCGCGATGTTTATGTAACGGAAAACAGCGTTCCCGAACTTCGTTACCTATTTTTTAAACACATTTTTGACGATTTTTGGTCTGTCTCTGGCGAAAATTAAAATTCGTGGTCAGCGATATCGAAACGCAGTGACTATAAAAACGATCGCGTCGCTGTAGACCAGCCAAGCGTGGAAAAGTTGTTTGCGACTAACAATTCGAGTAGGAGAGAGATTAAAGATCGAATGACGTTTTTCTATTGATTTCGCGCGTGTTTGCTAGCCTCGTGTCAAGACTCGTGTTGAAGTGAGAAAGAGAGGGAGAGGGAGAGAGAGAGAGAGAGAGAGAGAGAATGAGCGCATCGCTGGGTCTCCAGCTTTTAAAACGCGTAATTCCACTCGTGAAGCGGATAGAAACCTCATAAAAACCTAAAGACTTTGTCGAAGGATCATCGGAATGTGAACGTCAGTGTCAATTATCTTGCAAATTAATAAAATAATTTTGATTGATATAATTTTAGTCAATAATCCTGTCCAATAAAATTGATAATAAATTTATGCCTATGTGAATTACAATATACTTCTACAACACAATATATATATATATTACGTAATCAATAATCATAATCACTCCATGATTTTGCATTGTAAATCACAATATTATGTCATTAGAAATCAGAAACGCGAAGCAAGATGTAACTATCAAGTAAATTTTAACTTTCTGCTCTAAAATTTGAATAGTACAAAGTTGTCGTACTTACTGCGCTAAATATTAATTATTTCATCGTATCCACATACAGAAAAAAACGTACTGTACACAAATAATAATCGTTTTAAATATTTCAAAAGTTCATATTTCAAATATTTGCAAATCTATCAGATATCATAAGTTCATCTCACAAAATATATTTTAAATCCTAACTAATATAATACTTGAATCAAAATTATTAAATTAAAACAAATTTGATTTGCTTATTATACATATAAAGTCGCTTCTTCGATCAATTTTCTAATATTCTTCAAAAGGAAATAAATTCTTATTTTAAGGACAAAATAATTCTTTTTACAATAAATATTTTAGAATTATTATCAAGAAAGTATTCTTTGTTAAAGATAACTTAAAAAAAAAAGTGAATTGACCAATTAGTTTCCTTAGCAATAGAATAATATTTTTCTGTGTATATTGGAAAAGCCAACGAATTGTCAATTTCGACTGTACCTTATCGATTGCAGCTGATGGTACCGCAGGCTATTATCTATCTAAAATATTCAACATTCAATCGCGACAAGGCCATGTGGATTAATGTGGATTTCGGACACGCTACTGGAACAGCACGAAAGATTGAATAATTCCTTCCTGTAGAGTGCCATCAAAGGTCGTTTCGTACGTGTCATGTACCTCTACGGTGCATTACCGAATATACAGGCGATTAAAATATTAGGCTGGTTCCTCTCGACAGTAATTGATGTCGACGAGCCTGCGCGGGATCGCCGCGTTGGTCGTTATTTCAATGTCTGCGAGTTATTCATATCAGTCCGTCATTCATCCGATAGCGAATGGAAGTGGCGATTGAGGGACAGCGAAAATCATTTTCCCCGATTGTCGATGACAGTCTTCGTTAAGTTAATAGAAATCAACTCCCCATCATGTGAGCGATAAAGATTTCCAGGAAAGAACGGTTTTGCTGAAGCTAAAAACAGATCTAAAAACTGATCTAAAATCATTTTGTTAGACTATCAAAATAGTTCTACAAGATGCTCGAATTGATTGTTAGAATGTTAAAACTTTTTGTAGTATTGCTCATCACGCTTGAGTTTTCCACAGAATTCTTTTGATGATCCAACAAAATTAATCTCAAATTTGCACCTAACTATTATATAATAAATCAGGTGCCGTACATTTCAAGGTTACATTTACATGTAATTTTTTTACGTATTGTTTACGTTAAGGTTACACAATTTTTTTTCATGTGGACAATACAAGAGAGAGATGTAAAATATATAAATTATAAATGGGATAACATAATGTAGACAAAAATAATTAAGCTTTATTATTAATATATCTGATTTTAATATTAATATAAATGAAAATATACAAACGATAGAAGCTTAAGTGCAATACAGTGCGATGTCAAAGAACATAAACTTCGATGAATAGATTATTTAAATAGATGACATAATTTATATAGTTTAGACTGTATACATAAAGACGTAGATTATTATATTTTACGTATAAATGCACAATCCTAAACTAAATTTTTTAATATTCCAGAAAAATCGTTCTTTCCATGCAGCACAAATCTTTTCGGCATTTATTAGATGACAAAATTACGTTTAATTGCATGATTTTGTTTAAGAGATTTGTATTCTTTTTATCACATTCTCGTATGGAGCAAAATTTTTATTTATTTTGTTGTCAGTAGTTAAATAGTTTTTATATCGTAATGTAGAGGAAAAAAAGATGATACGGTGAAACTGCAGGCATATCTATAAATTAATGCCGAGTTAAACACGTATCGATAAACGCATTTATCTCAATCTGCAAAAAAGGGAGGGCAGAGTACGGAATTACAGAGCAAATAATTCAGCCTCCACGTGAGCTTAGCAACCAGGTCACGGCGATGGAAGGTTGCGCGAGTCTTTTTTTTTTCTTTTTAATGTATGCCACGTTTTGCACGGATTTGTTAATTCGAGTAAGTTATTTTTATAAATGTGCAAAGGATTTTACTATTTACACTACGGATGTTACGACAGAAAGAAAAGATTGCTAGGAAAACTCTTCAGGAATTCAATGAAATGACAAGAATTTTTACATAAATCTCAATATATTTTACGTTAATTAAATTCATATAAAAAAAAACATTCGGTTAAAGACAATTGGTTAAAGAATTTATAATTGATAAAAATAATCTTCAAACAACTCTCTACAATGTAGACGTTATAGTATAAGATATTAGCTAACAAGATTCGCTAGATGAATAGCTATCGTCGCTTTCCTGCTGTGCAGTTTTAACTACGTAATACAAATTTTTACATCCGTCTAATTACTGTGAATATGTTGTTAAATAAGCGCTTGCATAAATTTCTTTCTAATCAATATCGAATATATTCGAAACGCTGATTAGATAATTAAACGCTTAATCATTCAAAAGTTAAGATGCTTAAGTGCTATTGTAATTATTACCACACATTCGAGATACTCCATAAAAAATTTCTCTATAGCTAACTGTTAAATTTCTGTAAACTTAAGCACTTAATTTATCGCGCAGTATCACATTTTCCCTCTGTACTGCGTGTAATACATGATAAACATTAGCGCGTCTAATAAATAACGATTGCCATTTGAAGAAAAGACGAGTTAGTTTTGCCCCGCGGGAAGACTTACCTCGAACACACCTGATGTAATTGTTGAACTCCTTTTGCAGTCTGTTGGCGGAGTTCTGCTGCCTTGTGAAGTTCTGCAGGTGCTCGTCGAATATATCGTCCGCGGTTCGATCAACCTTGCCCAGATTCTGAAGAAACTGCAAGGAGAAAAAAATGCGTATTCAATTTTTGAGTCGTTCGTCTTTATTAGTCACTGATATAATCTACGTATATCGATTCAAAGTGAATGAAATTAATAAATTTGTAAAAATTATAATATATACAATAGTAATAGAGCAATAATAATAGAGAAATATCTTCATAGGTGCTATAATTTACATTTATACAAAAAATTGTAGAAACATATAAAAGAGCAAAAGCTAGACAATATTCCCATGAATGAATAACAGTACATAAAGTCAATACATGTTCATGAATGAATAACGATATATATAAAATCAAAACGTGCTCGTGATTTATTGAATCACTGCATATTCATATAATCGGAAAGCTATGAATAAAGCTTGGCATGAAGTTCGCGTATGTGAACTTTTGCGTCAACTCTTCCCACAAATGTTAGCGCTGCGCTGCAGCATAAAGCTGCCTTCAGACGATTTGCCCAATATAAGCCAACTTTGCACACATTCACTAAATTGATCTACATTCACGAATAATTATGCATGTCATATGTCTGTATGTGTTTAATATTTGACAATCTGACATAGATTGACCGTATCATCTGGAAGTACCTTAAATAGATACAAAGTATCTTCATTTTTCATATAAGTGTTCAATTTTTCTTTCTTAAACTTTTTAGTGTGAGCAAAATTCGACTATTGAAAATAATTTCGGAAGTATAATTTTTTAATGTAAACGTCTCATCTTTTTTATTTCAAATGTATTTATTTTAATAACGTTACCTATTACACGAGAGAATGATGTTGCTAAAGTATTCAAAATTTTAACTAAATATCGATTACAAAATTTTGAATCTAGCAATGAGTTTGAGTGTTCTATCTGAAAATTTTGATGGTCTATCAAAATTATCTTTATATCTGTATGTAGCTAAATTTTTGGATACTTCAATAAAATCATTTTTTTCCATTTACTTTTTTTGAATAAAACGTTCCAACTGTGTATTAAAACACTAATATAATTTTCTAATGATGTAGTGGTTTAATATACTTACAGACATGACTATAAATTAAGATCCAAGTTTTGATATTAAATATTTCAAGAATCTTCGAACTTTTATTAAAATAATTCTTGTTTCTAATTAAGAAACTATTTACGTATCGGTATTTTTGTTGAGGAAAAGTTTTGATTTACAAATAAAATCTCTATACTCGTTAAGTTCACGAGTACATTTAAATGTATATGTCTCGTGGTTGACTATACAATACGGTAAATGTATGGCTATCGTAAATGAGGCCTTTGAACCGCGCTCGTCACGAAACGATAAACACCGCTTGCATTATCATCGCATCGTGTGGAAGATCTGTGATAATTGTGCTCGGTCTTATACTGCATCTGTTATTTAAACTTTAATTAATATTATCTCACGGATGTTACGTACATTAATATACGTCAATGTTAAAGAACCTTCAGCACAGTGCATACTTATTTCAAGTAATAAAATATTTCATGTACATAAAATCATGAATATCATGTATATCATGTATATCATGAATTTATTTGTGAAATGGATAATAATATAGGCACATATCATCTTAAATCTTACGAAGTCATTCAAAACAGAAAAGTACTAATAAATATCAGTAAAAATAATAATAAATAGATTATCAATTTTGTCGAGTGCATCAAAATGATTTGTATTTTTACATTAAATTTTTACTTTCTCGATCTCTCTTGCCAAGTTAATAAAGAAATCTATCAAAGCCTCCGTACACCACTGCCATTGTTATCGGCAATAAGGCGCGACGTTGTGAAAGGATGCGAATGATGTAACAATAGCTATCGACCGCGGAGAAATTTCACGCCGGGAATGCCATACGTCGAGTTCGATTTTCATTTAGCTCCGTGGCACCTGTACGATCTTCAATGGAAAAGAAGTTGCTCCTTCGGGAAATTACTTAAAGGAGATATCTGTGAACAGGAAATTCACAATTCACGGAAATTGCATTAATCTTTAAATGCCGAATTGAATCATGATATCTGTTATAAAATGTAATATGTACAAAAAGGAAAGAGAAATTATATATATCTCACAATTAGATCTAAGATCATATCTATGGAGGTACTTTATTATACATTTAATCTGTTTAAAATTAGGTTACTTTATTATATGTAAAAAAAAGACTTTCGTTATCGCTAATTTGAAAAGTAATTAAGTACTTGCAATTAGAAATCGCACGTAAAATACATGGAAATTTTATTTTACAATTAAAAACTTATTGAAAGATTAGTTTATTAGATTCAAGATATTTTCACATTATGTAATTTATTTAATTTTATCGGAAAAGTCATTAAATATTTAATCAAGAAAACAACAATATTTAATCAGGAAAATAAAGTAATTAAATAGTTGATCAGAAAAATAGCGAATATTCATAAAACTGTTCACGTACTGTTCAGGATGTGTTATAAATTTTTGAAAGTTCACAGTTGAATGAATTTTCTTTTACTTTGTATATTAAACTCTACGCATAGAAAAATACTTATTGTATGCAAGTAATAATTACTTGTTTTAAATATTTCAAAAGTTCATATATCCGTATAAGCTTATCACTTATGATAGCTAAACAAGTTTATTCAAAATATATTTCAAATCCTAATAAATTAATTTTACTTCAATCAAGATTATTAAATTAAGATAAATTTGATTTATTTCCTATATAAAGTCGCTTCGATAAATTTTATAATATGCTTCAAAAAAAAAGAAAATAATTTCTTGTTTCAAGTATATAATAATAATAATTTTTTCTAAAATTTATAATAAGTATATTTTAAGAATACAACGAGAAAATTCTTTGTTAAAGACCGTTACTCGAAAGGAAGAAAATAAATGAAATAATCACTTTTCTTAGCGATAGAAAGATATTTGTCTGTATATAAATACTTAATCAGTACTCTTTATTCCTTTTCTTTTTGAAACGATAACAGCAACTTGATATTTCAAATATGAGGAATTAGAGTGGAACATGAGGGAGAAAATAAGATGCTGCCGGCGCTCATGTCGACCATCTCTCCTGGGGCTGGGCCAGAATCAAAGGCTGGAACGTCCGTGATGGAAATCGCAATCGCGAGTCGGTGATTGCGTAACCACCTCTACCGCCGACTGACTGTTCGCGAAGCCCAGCCGGTGATCCGTCCGCGGAGGCGAGAGCTACGCCGACCTTCTGCTATACATGTAGATCGTTCCGCTCTTCTCGTCCCATCCCGGGGAAACGAGAGGTGGAGATCGCACGTCGCTTTGTATCATCTAGCAATTTCCGTTCTCTAGTTTCCCGGGAATTAATCGCGTCGGTTACACGCGGTACGACTCTTGTAACGTCAACGAGTCGGAACGACACACGTCGAACTAGTTCAAACCCTCGTCACTTCACCTTCCCTCAACCTTCCGTCGTCTAGCATGACCTCGAATGGGCATTATCGCAAATTTGCAAATTGCAAATGGTTAACGTGTAACGTGCTGAAGAATCACGCGAGATAAATCCACATTCAGGGCGAGATCAATAAAATTAACCATTATAATTAATTTTACATTTTTTTAAACTAATTCCTAACTTCCCAAATTGGATTAAATGCCAAGATGCCATTGATGCTTTCTCCGAATAATCGAATGAAGGAACACCAATTTCGATTATCACTGACCGTGAAGGCAATATCTTCTTTGTATTAATTGATTTGTCGATAAAAGAATTGTCATACAGTATATGATTCATAATGAAAACAATTTCTGAAAGTGATAGGTAAAGATATGAAGATACGGCACGATAAGTGTATCATATTTAAGTCTCCATGAACTCAAATATTTATTGCATGAAACAATTTATTGTCTACGTCGGTCTATCAACGGTATAAAAAAATGTTGATATTATGTACACGAGAGTGGCATCACAGCTGTAATATTAATTATGGAATTCCCACTTTAATTACCTTTATTTGACAAAAGAGAGCAGCTAATAAAAGACATGTGTTGCATGCGTCCGGTATTTCGCTTGTTATCAGAGGCACAAACGTTTAGATTAATTCTTTCAACCATTTCTATGGCGTTATTGAAGCCAGTTAACCCGCGTAACGATGTTATTTATCGTCTGATATGTAGCTTTTATTCTAATGAAACGACCACAGGAAAATTATATTTTGCGTAGAACAAATTGCACAAATTGCAGAAAACTGCAAACATCAATTTTGCTGATCTTAAATAATATACGTAATAATATACGTTTTATTGCAATTACACCAATTATACATAATTAGCGAGATACAAAACAAAATTTTAATACGAATTGAATCGCGACAAGTTTATAAGACTTGAGTCCGGTCGTTTAAGAGAGATTAATCCTATTAACTCGCTCGTGCACTTTCAGGTCAAGATCATCTTGTCTGCCATATATAATTTACTCGTCGCAACTTTAAAGGTACTGCTACGATTTCTATCTCGCTCCATAAAATTAAGATAGCAGCGGTTTCACTGTAAATGAAAGGGGTTACACCACATGTACATTAGTCTAAGAAATTTAACATAGAAAACTCGGATTAAACACTATCGTATCTATCTTGATAAATTGTCTCGTCGCGGAGCTCGAAGGCTAACGTTTAAATTACCGGACGTGTCGAGTAATCAGATACACTCTATATAGTATTCACGGAGAAAAATGTAAAGTAATATGCGCTAGAATTCTAGTGAATTTTATGGAATTAGCAAGTCCATTTAAGGATTGGCATTCATTTATGCCAATCCCTAAAACTTACTTTACTTTTCTCATGAGCGATTGTTGAATAATAGAATAATATTGTTAAGTACTTTTACATTTTCTAAAGTAAATCTATAAATTGCCATAGATGATAGAATTTACTTTGTCGAGTAGTATTTTTGCGTTAGTGCTGATAAAATTTATTTCACTAAAAAATACAAGTGTGTAAAGTTTTAAGAGTTGTTTATGCTTACAATCTTGAGAATAATTAGTATAAT